AAGTCTGCAATAAAAAAGGCTAAAATATCTATCTGTCTATCTACATTTTATTCAGTATGACATATATATCTGTGACTTTGAGTTAGTGTTGACTGCTGGAATAGTCCCTCCCTTTTCCCCCGCAGTTTTCTTGGTAAGATTTTTCAGATGCGGTTTGCCATTGCTTCCTTCCTAGGGCTCAGGGTCTTCTGACTGGCTTTGTTTCCAAGGCAGGACTGGAACTCATAATCTCCCACTTTCTAGCCTGATGCCTTAACCATCACACCAAACTGGCTGTCATGAAGCTGTTAAAGGACAGTTATTCACAAAGGCTACAAAAATTCATTGAATCTGAATGTATGCATTCTGCTCCAATGGATTTATCCTGCTGTATGCTTTGTTTAACTATTACAGTTTCCTCCCCTCCACCCCTTATATACTTTTTTAGGCTATATGATTCTATCTGAAGAGGCAACTGCAGTAAACACTGTGACCCACTGATGATCAATTGGTGACCAATCTCCAAACCATCATTTTGTTCTAGAAAAGCTATTTTCAATAGGCTTGAAAAGGGAGAGGTGGAAGAAAAAGAGGAGAAGGAAATAAGAATGCATGCTATCAGTAGCATATTTTAAGTCACTGTGTTTGTTTGTTGTTGTTAGCAGATGCATTTAGATAAATGCAGTTACCTCAAGAGGTGTTGTCTTTTGGGGATCCTTATCATAATTCTGCTTTAAATCCAAACAGCTGTTGTTTAACTACTACAGACCACAATGTATCTACAGCTTGAGGCCATAAAAGTAGCTTTATTACACACTTTGTTTTTTTCCTCCCTCTCCAATTTGATTTAATTTCAGTATGTCAGACATCAAAATGCTATATATAATTTGCATATTACAGATACATATGGGCTCAAATTCCCATACCTAGCTAAATGGGAGAACTGATACAGAATAATTAATTTGGGAGGGGCCAATGCTTAAAAAAAACACACAAAACAAGACCAAGGTAACTTTATTTGCATGTGCTTAAACTGTTTGGGCAATTATAATTCCTTGGAGGACTTTGGTGTTTTGTTTTGTTTTATTTTAAATAGAATGTTTGGGTAAATTGATGCTATCATAGCTTGTTTTTCACAATTTAGCCCTGAAGTCATGAATCTATATGATTCAATTATCAGTTGAATGTATGAACTAATGCTATTGAAGAGATAGAGACTAAAAAAAAAAAAAAAAAGCCAGGGCAACCATGTTATTCCAAAATAAAAGTGTCAGGGTTCCAATTAACACCCCTGGAGGACATCTTTTTCTTTGGATCTTCAGGGCTGACAAAAAGTTTCAAAACCCAGTTGAATGAAAGTTTTATTAGGCCAATTAAATTGCTACAAAAAGATACCAGAGATTGAGCTGAGCTCTCATTCATTCATTCATTCATTCATTCAAAAACATATTACAATTAAAATTTTAAAACACTTTAAAACACGGGTGTCAAACCCGCGGCGTCATGTTGCCATCACGTGACATGTTGCGACGTTTTTCCCTTCATGTAGCTGGGGTGGGCATGGCCTGTGTGTGACGCATCTGGCCTGCTGGTCGCCAGTTTTAAAACAATGAAAAACAATAAAAACATTCAAAATAATTGTACTCAGCAGCTGAGATACTTGTCTAGTTAGTAGTAAAGCCAGGAAACGAGGCCCTTGACACATTTAGCACCCCATGCTTGGGAACATTACCCTGAATGTCAAGCAAAACAGAAATGACTAGCCATCTTAAAAAAAAACCCAATACCAATGATCTACAAAATGAACAAACTGATGAGTTGTTACCACTTGCTTTCCTTCCACTTAACCTGCTAATGAACCTCTAGTTGCTGCTTTCTTCCAACAATGATACAGTTGTGCCCTCTAAGTAGGAATAAGGAAACAAGGAAGGTTGTATGAATGTTTCCAAGGCTAAGTCTAGCATTGCATAAGTGTAGAGACTAGATCAGGGGTTTCAAACTCAAGGGTTCTTAAGATCTGGCTGACAGGGTCACCCTGGAAACAGTGAAGGACTGGCCCGCGGTGCCTCTGCCAGCAAAAACGGAGCTCGGGAGGGCCGCGTGTAGCCTCCCCAAGCTCCATTTTCTCTGGCCAAGGGCTGCAGGAGGCCATTGAGGCTGGAAACGGAGCCTCAATGAGTGACGTTGAGCTGGCCATGCCCACCCTGGCCACTCCCATCCCAGCTCCCCCAAGGTCAAACACAACTCTGATGTGGCCTTCAATTAAATCAAGTTTGACACCCCTGGACTAGGTTATCATGTTTTTGGCTTTACGTTGCCACTAGATTTTTTCATAAGAATATGTATTTATTAGGGCTGTACAATGCTTTGTATTTGATTCCAGAATGATGCTTTGGAACATGATAAACCTAGCACCCTTCTCCACCTCTTTAAAGAAGTTTCAACTTTTCCTGATCATCACAGCTATTCCCCTGCATGCTCCAAAATGCTATTCCTACGCAACCCAAGTATTTGTGGTACTAATTCGCCTTAATTTCAGGAGAGTAAAAGGACTTCAAAGCAAATAAGATACTGGATTAATAAGCAATTTCTTTAAAACCACCTACTCGATATATTCATGTGCAGTTCTCTTTTTAAAATGTAACTCACTTTATATGCTCAACTGCTTCATTCAGCTGAATTAAGACCTGGAAGATTATATTTTAATGTCAGTGAAACAGGACCCCTTTGTTGCATTGTTATCTTAAGGGTGGACTGTATGAACTCTTGGCACTAATCAAAAGGAATCATACAGTAACTCAATTACTAATTGACCTTTAACATCCATCAAGGAACATGAAACGCCCGACTTTTGCTTTTTTTGCAAGAACATGCATGTAACAAACTGCCCAATGACAGAAAACCCACTTGAGAAAAAGGGAAGATAAAACACACCCATATTTTAGCATGGCATGATCAGAGCCATCAACCTATTTTCATCTCTCTGACATTCAGCGCTAACAGAAAGACAGGTGTGGCCAGACATGGCAAGAGGAAATTGGATTTTTTCCCCTTTACATGAACAGGCTAGCCCTGCAGTGATTACTTACCTGGGGGTTCATTTCCATCTTGCCTGTTTAAAGGTAGAAACTTTGCCTTAAGGATAATTAATCTGAGCACAAGTTGCTACGTAAGTCATCACCCCAAACATATACTTACAATTCTATTCCCATTCATGTGGGATCATACTTATGAGATAAAGTGGGACAGAACTATACTTTGCTAGCAAAATTAAAGCTATGGTTTCTCCTTGTACACTAGAAGCTGTTAATGCTGCCAGCTACCTTAGTCACAGGGCTGCTCTGCTTGGAATGGTTGCATATCAGACACAAATTGAGAAACAGAAGATTTTTCTGAGTCTAAGATGAAATTGAGGAACTTGATAATGTGTCATAAGAATACAGATATCCAACATTAGAAATGAATAGCAGCTGCCATTTTATTTACTGTTTTAAATGTGATTTTCAATATGATGAAAAATAGTAGGAAGGAGCCAGGGGTTGGCTTCAGATCCTTTAGCAACGGGTTTGCTGCCCTGTTGCTGGGTGGATGTGGCCATGGTGTGTGTGGCCTAGTTAGCTGCCTGTACCATGGTGGGGGGGCATTTTTCGCCATCCCCAGGCTCCAGAGGCTTTCCTTGAGGCTCCGGGAGGGTGAAAACAGCTTCTCCTGGGCTCTGGAGGCCCTCCAGAGGCCGGAAACAGGCACGTTTCTGGACTTCTGCAACCTCCGGTAGGCTCATTTTTTGCCCTCCCAGACCCTCTGGGTGGTCCCTGCACTTACCTGGAATGATGAATGGCCCGCATGGAGACTCCTGGAAGGGGCGGGGTCGAAGGTGTGGAGTGGAATGGGCATGGCCAGCCAGGGGTGGCATTTGGGGGTTCACCGAACCCCAGCGATCCTTGGCTAGAGGATCGCCTGAACCCTGCCGAACCCCCAGGAGCCCATCCCTGGAAGAAACCAACCAAGATGAATCATTATAGATTTCTTTGATTTCTGTCAGTTGATTAAATGCATGCAAATATTTGTTCCGTTAATATGTATAGGAATTGGTAAAATCCTCTGAAAAATATCAGAAAGAACAACTCAATAGAACTTTTTTATATACCTTTTACTGGGCAGCATATCTAGCTTCAGCTGATTGGACCTTGTTTTGGAAAGTAAAACTCCAGACAATGATCTTAATTACATTGTATATTTATATTTTCAGAGAAGTTACTAGATCAGGCTATAAAGCAAACCCTGCCCAAGGAGATGTAATACTAGAACGTTTGGTTCTAAGGCGTAGGTGTGGTATTTTTTAAACATATCATTACAGCTTTGTGGACAAATGTGAAAAAATACACTGATATATCTCCTGTTTATATACTGCTTTCAAGTGTTACATACCATTTTAATTTGCAGGAGAAATAGGTGGAATGTGAAAAATCAAATGCTTTATAGTTTCTGCATTTATTATTTATTATCAATTCTATATTTTATTTATTTAATAAATTATTTAGTTTAGACTACCTTCATCTTCTGATCCCAGGATAGTTTACAAAATAAAGTGCTAGCAATTGCCAAAAGCCATAAAATAATGCTGCAACTGGGGAAAAGTGAAGGTCATATTACTATTTCAACTGGGGTTTTTTGTTTTTAAAATCCAGTAAGTGCATGCATTCTTATGAAGTTATGCAAGGTGTTGATTTTAAATTGTTAAATTGTTGCAATATATACTGAGGCAACTCACGATTGTAACTGTAACTCTTTATTGCTTCACCCTGTAACTGTAACTGTAATGGCTCAGCTAGAAATGGCAGTTGACAGCTCTTATATATGAACAGCTCAACCGCTCCAGCCAATGGCTAACAAAGAATCTCCCGTGCGCATGACATCATCGGTTTCATCCAATAACAACACTCCAACTATAACTAAACCCTGCTAGACATAACACCCCTCCCCTCCTGGATCACGCAAGTGTAATCATTAAGGTACGCCGGGCGCCTGCCTGTTCGTCCGGACCGTCGTAGTTCAGGTTCGATAACAGGTGCAGCTGATTCCGGCATGGATGGAGAAGAGAACGGTACAATTGACGGAGTGTTCCCTGGAACAGACTTCCCAGCCTCCGACTCGACTGCAGGTAAGTTGAGCCACTGCTGGCTCCTCACGGCGCCCCGCGTTAAGTTTTCATTTGCTTGTGAACTTAGCGTTGGACCTGGCACAGAACTTAGCGGTGTTGTAGGTGATGGACTCACGACCTCTGCCGGGTTTTTTTCTAACACACGTTTCCATAACTGGTCCACGTGTCTCCGCCAGGTTCTGCCATCAACGAGCAGGACCCTGTAAGAACAGGGACCCGTTACTTGTATAATCTGTCCCGGCAACCAATGGGGGTCGCCCCCATAGTTTCGTGCAAAAACCTGGTCCCCCTCTTTAAACACCCTAGGTGGCAAATAGCCTGTTGTAGGCCGGTCTGAGTTGTATAAAGGATGCAGACGGTCAAGTGTTGTTCGTAAACGGCGGCCCATCAGCATCTCAGCAGGACTTCGATTAGTGTTTGAACAAGGTGTTGTATGCTGAGAAAGCAAATATGTGGAAACCCTTTCTTGCCACCTCCGTGGTCCTAGTCTTGCCAGCGCTTCTTTAGTTGACCTCACAGCCCTTTCTGCCAAACCATTACTAGAGAGACAATAAGGGGCAATCTGGGCATGGCGTATTCCTAAACTGGCCAGGAACATTTGAAATGGGGAGGATGTCAGTTGTGGGCCATTATCGGACACCAGAACATCCGGAAGGCCATGTGTAGCAAATAATTTATTTAAAACACGTATGACGGCCTCTGATGTGATGGATGGCATTATTTCCACCTCAACCCACCTTGAATACGCGTCCACCACAATAAGGAACTGGTGGCCCACAAACGACCAGCAAAATCCAGATGTACCCGCGACCATGGAGCCCTTGGGAATTCCCACTCCCTGGGAGGAACAGATGGTGCTGCTGGCCTTGACAGCTGACAAGTTTGGCATTTTGCTACCCAATCTGTTATATCCTGGTCGATCCCTGGCCACCACACATAACTTCGGCTAAGCCCCTTCATCCTGATGATACCAGGGTGGGCTTCGTGCAAACACTCCAAAATAGAGTTACGCAATTTTGGGGGAATAACGACCCTATGACCCCACAAAAGGCAACCCTGGAGGACAGAAAGTTCATGTTGCCTGAGCCGGAACGGCTTGAACTGCTCGGCCACTTGTCCCAATGGCCACCCCCTTGCCACCCAGTCGAGCACCTGCGCTAACAAAGGGTCAAGTGCCGAGTGGGCGGCAATGTCGGTTGCAGATAAGGGAATGGGCAGCTCCTCTACAAGGAGGACAGAAGAGGTCGGTGCAGGGTCCTCCATGGGCAAGGGCAATGGACGGCAGCTCAACACATCAGCATGCGCGATCTTCTTACCCGGGCGGTATCGTAAGGTGTAATTATAAGCCGCTAAAAACTCAGTCCAACGGGACATCCTGGGGGAAAGTATCAAAGGAGTCTGACGGTCCCCAGCTAAGAGCCCCAGAAGAGGCTTATGGTCAGTGACCAAATCAAAATGGCGGCCATAAATATAATCGTGGAACTTCTTTACAGAAGCCACTGCGGCTAGGGCCTCCCTGTCTAATTGACTATACTTGCGTTCTGTGGAGGAAAGAGTATGGGAATAATAGGCAATAGGTGCTTCTATTCCATTTGGAAACCTATGGCTAAGGACGGCACCGATGCCAAAAGGGTATGCATCCACTGTTATTACTAGAGGAAGGTGAGAACTATATTGTACCAGGACAGCAGAGGATGTTAGTAGGTCTTGGACAGCCCGGAAAGAATGGTTTTCAGCCTCGCCCCAGGACCATGGCGTATTTTTGTCCAATAAACGGTGAAGAGGCTCCGCCAAGGTGGCTTTATGGGGTAAAAATACGCTATAAAAATTGAGGAGCCCCAGAAATGCTTACAGGTCAGCTTTGCATGTTGGAACGGCAGCGTTTTTTATAGCTGCCACCTTTGAGGGAGTAGGGTGGATACCTGTGGCGTCAATTAAATACCCCAAAAATTCAACCTGTGGCACACCAATTAAACATTTAGATTTCTTCAATTTTAGGCCGGCCTTCCTGAAGCGTAGAAGGACGGCCCTAACACGGCCAACGAGCTCATCCCATGAAGACGCAGAGATGAACACGTCATCAAAATATGGGACTACCCCGGGAAGTCCTTGTAGAAGGCGCTCCATTAAATTTTGAAATAACCCCGGGGCTATGCTAATACCGAATTGAAGCCGTTTGCACTTAAAAGCTCCCCGGTGGGTTACAATCGTTTGGGCCTCAGCTGAGGCCTCATCCACCGGAAGCTGCTGATACGCTTGAGCTAGATCAAGCTTAGCAAAAATGGAGCCTGAACCCAGGGAGTGGAGCAAGTGTTGGACTACCGGAACAGGATAGGGGTTGGCTTGTAATGCCCGGTTCAACGTACTTTTAAAATCCGCGCAGATGTGGACTGACCCGTCCGGCTTGATAGGAATGACTATTGGGGTCTCCCACTGGGAATGGTCAGTGGGTTCTAAAACTCCCTGGGCAATCAACTTATCTAACTCGGCTTCTACTTTTGGACGGTGGGCCAAAGGTACTCTCCGGGGTTTGAGCCTAATAGAGGCAACGTTCGAGTCTAAGTTCAGTGAAATTGGGGAACCCACATATTTACCCAGAGCATCATTGAACACATCTTTGAATTCGCTAGCCACCATATCGAAATCGCTCTCTGAGGTTGTTGAGCCTATGATGGCAAGGCCAAGGGATCCAAACCAATCTAAGCCTAACAGACTGGGAAGGGAGCCATCCACCACGATTAAGGGGAGGCGGCCAGTGAAACTATCACATTCAACTAGGAAACGACCGTGCCCAATAATTGGAATCCGGTTTCCCTGATAATCTCTAAGCTTAATAGGGCTGGGGTGAAGCTGATTTTTCTGCAGGCTAGGCATCATTTCTTTGATGGTGGTCCAGGAGACAATGGATTTAGATGAGCCGGTATCGACTTCCATCCTGCAAGGAACACCTTCGATCTTCACAGTCAGGAAAAGCTTGTTTGAACGTGTAGTGGAGTCACGGTGGGTCGTTATTTCAGTGACCCGCTGGCCGCGGAATATCGTAAAACAGTCTTCACTGTTGACTGCAGCACCTTTTGGTCGAAACGTAGATTGCCTCTGGCGACCCGAGGGGCAGACACGTGCGAGGTGGCCAAGTTTGCCGCAACATCGACATGTCACTGAATGGAACCGGCAAGTTGCTCGGGGGTGCTGATCGCCGCAGCTGAGGCAGGAGGATGGAGGAGGGTTTTTTCCGGTTGGCCGCCCACCTTTTTCAGTAAACGTCTTAATACGACTGACCTCCGGCTCTTCTTCATCATCTTCGGAAACAACCTCCTCACTATGGACAGCCGTGGCTTGATTAGCAGAGGAATGGCACTTACGGATGTCCGTGGCGGATTTATCTGACATCTCCACCGCCTGGGCCTTTTTCATGGCTGTTTGAAGTTCTAGGGTTTTTTTCGCTAACAAATGCCTCTGTAAGTTTATGTCGCGTACCCCACAAACCAACTGTTCGACCAAAGCATCATCTAAATCCCGAAACTCACAGTCGAGGGCAGCTGTACGCAGATGGGCAACATAACGGTTGACAGGCTCCCCTTCCTCTTGCAATATTTGCCTTAAATTAAACCTATGGGCTATATGAGACGGAGTGGGAGTGTAGTGAGCCCTCAATTTCTGCCTCAAAACTTCACAGGAAGTAGTATGCACAGGCTGGGGAGCGAGTAACGCTCGGGCAGTAGCAAATACTTCAGGGCCACAAGCATTTAAAAAATGAGCCCTTTTCTTATTGCTTGAGAGGTCAGTAAAATTGTTGGCTTCTAAAAAACATTCAAACCGCTCTTCATACGCATCCCACGTCTCAGCGGCAGCGTTGTATGGGGCAAAAGTTGGAGGAGCCATTTCGTGGATTGGTGGTTTGTGTATTGGGTGACTCACACTCTCTGAATGTTGATTCTGCTCTCAATTCGCCTCAGGAAGATCCCATCCTCATCGCCAGTGTTAAATTGTTGCAATATATACTGAGGCAACTCACAATTGTAACTGTAACTCTTTATTGCTTCACCATGTAACTGTAACTGTAACGGCTCAGCTAGAAATGGCAGTTGACAGCTCTTACATATGAACAGCTCAACCGCTCCAGCCAATGGCTAACAAAGAATCTCCCATACGTCATCGGTTTCATCCAATAACAACACTCCAACTATAACTAAACCCTGCTAGACATAACAAAAATAAAGATTGTTATGCTTTGTATGAATTCTCAGCCAGCCATTAATACTCATATTCCTTTGAAATTGTGGGAGTAGTAATCTATCATATCTAGCTACCAAGAAAGTGTAAAAAGCTTATGCACCTTAATAATTAATACCTGTATTATGAAATAGTGTAAGCTTCAATTGAAAGAGTGTATTTCTTAGGTAATATTATACACACACACACACACACACACACACACACACACACATATGTCTTTTTCTTTTTCGTAGGCTTTTATGTGCATATTCTTTCTAGCCAGGTTTTACCTACGTAAACTAAGTTGTTCTGCAGATCTGGTTGTGTGAAATCTCATTCACAAGTTTCTGGGCCTTTTTTCTGCTGACAAACTGCAACTCTGTGTTGCTCTCTGGGAGACTCAGATAGCTATTTCTGCCTTTTAAGGCGTCATCAGTGAGCCACACCCACTTCTCAGATATCCTCCCTGTAAAGGTACAATGTGTCTTTTTCTTTTTCGTAGGCACTTAGTTTACGTAGGTAAAACCTGGCTAGAAAGAATATGCACATAAAAGCCTACGAAAAAGAATATATATATATATATATATATATATATAGTTCTTTTATTCGTAGGATTATATGTGCAATACTTTTCTAGTCAGGGTTTTTCCTACATAAATCAAGATGTTTGTATTGTCATAGTTGGGTGATATCACCACTTGTCTGCTGTGTTGTCTGCTGTGAGACTTAAGGGAGACTGGGATACAACACAAAATGTCTGATAAAGCCTGAAAGTGGTGATTTGA